GTGCAGGAGGCGGCCACTCACCCTTATCCCACCTCTCGACTACTTGGATTGGGCCACCAAGGAAGAGTGAGATGAACCACCAATAAAGTTGGTTGAGACCCAGCTGCCTTTAGTGAGTTTTATTCAAGCCTTTGCAAAGAGGTCAATCTTTCAGCAGGTGTCTGAGAAAAAAGACAGAGAAGGTTTTTATAATAAGGAAACTACGCACACACACACACATACACACACACACACACACACACACATACAGACACACACACACACACACACAAGTGGTAAAAATAACTCAGAGCCACATCAAACTAAGTTTTTCTCCCAGTTCCACTGTGGAGGGTCATTATAGCATTGAAGCTTCTTTTCCAGCAGAAAATGTCAAGTTTTAGATCATGGTGGTTTCTCACATGAGTGAAAACATTAGAGAACAAACATACAACATGTACATTTCCATTACACCCCCTTCAAGAACACACTAGTTTAATTGTTGCAGTCTATGGTCGCCAATCATAATCACAGCTTTGGTGTAAATGACTTCATCTCAAGTGCTACCTACCTTACAATGGTGTGTGTGTGTGTGTGTGCGTGTGTGTGTGTGTGTGATGGTGCAGTCTCTTCCCAGACTCCCTCCTTAAACAAAGACTTTTTTTATTTACCAGCTGAAACATAAAAGAATTGGCTTCATCTTTAAAGCACCTGACTCAGACTGAATAGCGATGAGATGAGAGGACGGATCATGGCCAGCTTACAGAGACAGCTTTGTGCAGTTAAAGTCATTATTGCACAAATAATTGTCGAGGACGATCCAGACCGTCAGCAGACCGTTGTTAGTGTTCGGCAGGGCCTTCGCATTGCTTCTTGCAATGCTGTTACCGTGGGATTAACTTGCTTGCACAAATTCAATTTACGACACTTAGCAATTCAGTTTACTGGCTTTATGATCGTTTTTAGCAAGGGTGACTTAAAAGTAAACAAGCAGCTTAAAAGTTTGTTGGGAAACACTGGCACATGCAAGATGCCGAGGGGCCCAGCGGAGGGTGGACCACCCCTGAAGGGTGCTGTAGAAAGCAGGGCTGTGGCTTCGGCTCGGCCTAGTGGAAGCTGCTGGCCACATGGATCTGTGTTAACAGGTCACTAATTGTCTGTCCTCCACTTCTATCAAAGGGCATATTCAGAACGAGGCCTGTACAGTCAGATATTATCGGGTGTGATGCCACTGTGACTTAGACTTAGCTTTAGGCTATGTGTCACGCTGTGCCAATCTATCAGGATACAGCATCCATGGCAGTTCATTCAGGTTAACATGTGAATGGGCTGTTTGCCTGAATGCACAACTGTGGGAGTGTTTGACTTCATGTGGGTTTCTGGCTCTAGCATGGTTTATTTGGTTAGTTGTTTGTTTTTTTTTTTTTGTGGGTGCTAGTTGGTTTTTCACGGTCTGTTTGGTTGTCTGTTAGTCTGCGGGTTTGGTTTGTTTGCATCCATGTGTGGTTTTTATGTGAGTGTGTTGAGCCTGTATGTGCATTTGGGGGTATTCTGCTGGTTGAGGCGGGGTAGTGTTTACAGAGCGGGTCCCAGCAGAGCCCAGATCTCTGACCCTCACATTCCAGAACCACCACTAATCGCCTCCGTCTGCTGTTCTGTGTAGAGAAACCCTTGAAGCATCTCTCTTGGCTCCATCTTTACAGTTTTCTCTCACCCCAGTATTAGTACACCTCACCCCTATTTGTCAATCTTCTAGTCCTTTGGCCATAAATTTTAGTCAAGTTATTAGTTTTCGTATTGATCGGCAGATGTTCAGCAACATGACCTTAAAGCATGTCCATCTGCATGCACCATCTGCCCTCTTTGCGTTACGTTGCCTTAAATCACTTTCTCCAGAGTTTATTTTTTTGTTACTTGTTTCAGTTGTTGTTATTCTCCTCTCGCAGTGAGCTCATTCTGGGCTGTGGTCATAGATGTGTAAATTAGAACCAGAAAAGTTTCTCAGAGTGAGGCACATATCCCCTCTGCTATTATTCCTCCTCCTCTGCTCCCTCTCTCCCTCCCTCTCGTCTTCCCCCCTCCTTTTCTTTCTGTCGCTTTTGACTATTTGAAAGCATTCCTGCTTTGAGTGTCAGGCCCAGCAAGCAGCACATTTGGGCCTTGCTGTGGGAGCCAACCCACTCCTCCGCCTCCTTTTCGGTCCCCTTGCAGGCCCTCCTCGCCTGGCTCTCTTCTCGAGCACGTCTTGGCCAGGTGCAGAGGTTGGCTCACAGCTGCGTGACAGATGATGTGGGGGTCTCTGAAGTGTTTTTGTGTCTTGTTGTGAAAACCGTTGTACTGAAGTTGCCGTTGTAAAGTGCTGAGGGGCGACTGTGACGTAGGGGCTAGTAATTTGTATAGGTTTGTGGAGATACTCTTTAACCATCTGCCACCGCATGTGGTTTTAAGTACCCACACTTTGTATTTTGTTTAATATAACAACACTGAGAATTACTACTCACTCGTGGAATACACAGATAAAAGTGGTGGATGTGTTTTAATGAGAAACTGCCACACTGGAGTGACCTTTGCTCATGGACATTAGTGCTAAGTACGTTCATGAACTTCATCCAAAAACGGGAAAAGACAAGCCATCAGTATTGGCAGGCCTGAGGTAATAAAATATGCTCCTAACTGGCTCAGCTCTCCATGGTTTCCATTAGACCACCGTATGTATTGAAAATGATCCCTACTGTAAGCTAGAGATTTTAAGCCTTCAGGGAGAATCTGTCCATTATGTATCCATCAGCTTAATATTGATTATTGAGAGTGGAATTGCAGTTTTGTGAAATAGGCATAAAGAAAGTCTGAGTTAATCTAATGGCAGGAAAAAAGGTCAAATTCTCTACTTTTATGTTGCAACATATTTGAAAACACAAAAATGCACTGAGATAGGATATGGTAAAAACTAATTACAGAATTCAAGGGTGTAAAAATGCCATCGGCCTGTTATTATATGTTTTACAGTCTGTTCCTTATGTTAAAGACACAAAGAAAAAAGCTTTCAAGGTTAACATATCATTATTAAATATAAATTAAAGGGTTAAGATTATATTGATTGTTACATTGAAAACACTATATACAGATCGTTCTTAACATTGCACACACACACACACACACACACACACACACACACACACACACTAATCTTTAGCACAATCTTCCACCCCCCTAACCTGGGAACTGCAGACTATGTAAGTCATACTTTTTTTCCAGTTGAAAATGAGTGGATTGCATTTAAATGAAATTAAACAAAATCCACACCCACTTCTTTTAAATTGGAGATGAACCAGGTCATATCCCAGCATTTCCCCACCAAGGTATGACGCACAGAGATAAAGGGATTACAATTAGGAGATTAAGAAATGTGTTCGCGATTTATGCAGGTGGCAGGAATGTACTAAATGTTGAAATAGACCTGTGACAAAGTATTTATCGTTTCATTTACATTTCAGCTAATATAAACTAATCAACATGACTTCAGGCAAACTGTTTTCTCCTATCAGAAAATATATATATATATATATACAGAATTTCAAGATAAGTTTGTATAAATTCATTTTAAAATCAAAACAGATGGTATCTGTATGTGACCTCTGTTTGTGGATGTGTCAGTGTGTGACTGAGGTGGATCTGATGTGGGTGCGTGGGTGAGGAGACGCCTGTAGATGGCCGAGAGATGTGGGTCAGATGAGAGGTGTTTCCTATCTCTCTCTCTCTCTCTGCTGGCGTCACAGCCTCTGCTATCCAGCTGCAACGTGTTTCCCTCTCTCGTTTCCTCGCTCAGGCCCAGTTGAAAATAAATGGAAGTGGGCTGGGTTTTATCTGTGTTTTGTCGTTCTGTCAGGACAGGGTGACTTCGACCACAGACTTCACTAATATACACTAAGTTATAGCCTGGCTGTATCATCAGGTTCAGTGCAAAAAGTTGCTTTTATGCATTTGAAGTGCTGAAAGACTCAAATCTGTTGATTAGAGCTTGACTTTAGTTAATGGTTGTGATATCACTGTAGTACTTAAACTGGAAGATGTGGACATATTTACCTCTGTCAGGTATTCAAGTCCTGTGTTTGTGTGCAACTGTTTGTTCCTTTTGGCCTGTTTTTGTGTATATGCTGTGTTGCTACTCAGTCACGTAGTCTGAGAGATTCCCTGGCAGGAGCTGTGTTTTCGCCTGGGTGCGTTCCAGCCAACCAGCAAGCCTGGGACGATGGGGAGAGGCACAGAGGTTAATGATTAGTCCCATGTTCTCGTTGCATTCCGTGGGGTGACAAGGGGACATGGGATAAGGGACAGAGAAATGGAGCAGGCTGGACTGGCCTTTACAGGCTGTTAGAACATAAGAAAAATAAAAGCAGGGCTGCTCAGCTTTCATTTGTTAGGATACGAACGCCATCTCTCATTTTGCCCCCATTAAAAATGTTGAACAGGTTTTCCCTACTGTACCTTCGCCATCAGGCTGTGAGGTTGTGTAAGCGAAACCTTGACCTCTTTCACCTGATACAGATTAGAAGAAACAAATCGTGAACTCGTATTTAGAACAGCTGTTAATGTAAAATCAGGCGGACTAAACTAAATGTCAGCATAGTTCAGTGGAACAAAGCATCATTGTTAAACAATACCCTGCCCTTCCTACACCGGGTTTATCATCTACTTTCAGCACTCTGAAATTTTCTGTGTAACACGCTCTCTGATATCGCCTTTGTGCTTTATCATCCTAATCCTCCTCTGTCGTTCCCATTTCTGTGTCTCATCGGTCTTCAACATCCGTCATCTCTCCCTCTGCTCCACTGGTCGAAGCAGCTATGTGTGGAATGCTTGATTCCCGGGAATCTGGAAGTCATGTTGGATCTCATGTCATCTATGTATCTTGCTGTCTCTGTGATCCTTGTTGCACAGACCCCATGCTCATACACTCATCAAGCCATCTTTTGTTTTTTGCCTGCCCCCCCCTTCTCCCTTTATCTTCCACATCTCATCAGCCTCCATTCCATTCTTTGCATGCGAGTTGAAGGCCGTGACTCCTTACAGACGTGGCTTCTTCTGCGGAGACGCCAGCATCACCTATCCCTACGTGGAGAGAGAGGCCATCCCTGACAGCCTGCTGATCGCTGGTGGTATAATCATCACTGGCTTAACAGTAAGACAATGATACCTGTAGAGTATATATATATCATTATTTTAATATGGTGTAATGTCTTTGTTTTAAGATTAAAACGTCTCACCTCTATTCTCAGATTGCACTGGGTGAATGCTACCGGGTACGTTTCCGAGGTGTGCACTCGCGGGCGTTTGTCCGGAACCGCTATGTGTCGTGCTTGTACAAGGAGCTGGGGAGCTTCCTATTTGGTTGCTGTGTGGGTCAGTCTCTCACCAACATGGCCAAACTGAGCGTGGGACGCCTGCGGCCCAACTTCCTGTCGGTGTGCAACATCACCTATGAGTCCATCAACTGCACTCCGGGCACCTATGTGCCCCAGGTCACCTGCAAGCAACCTAATCAGAAGATGGTGGAGGAGGCGAGGTGTGTGGCGTGTGCGCATGAGAAGTTTTGCTTGAAATAATTAGGTGTAAGGGCAGAGTATAAAATAAATGATTCATATAGTAAATGTTTAACCTCCAGCGTCTTGTATTGATCTTCTCTTTCAGGAAGTCTTTTTTCTCTGGCCATGCTTCATTTGCAATGTACACCATGCTCTATTTGGCAGTAAGTCACCTCTACCTTATACACACCTACACACACACACACTGGAATGTGACCTTTGCGTTCACCTGAGCTAGTGTTGTATGATTACAGCATTCGGTGCTGTGTTTACAATGTTGGGGGATTATTACAGCAGAGCTCTCACTTTCACCTCAGTTAGCAGTCACAACATTCCCTGGAGACCAAGAACACTGTGTGCAACTATTAATAAGATGATTAAACATGCGCAAACACACCGAGACATGTGCTGTTAAATATATTCATACTTCCCGATCGTGAGGGAGGAGATCTTTGAGAGCAGCCATTCTCAAAGAGCTGCCGAGACAGGGAGGAGGAAGAGGAGGAGGAGGAGGAGGAGGGGGGCTGTTTTCCACAGTGGGAACATGAATAGATGAAGAGACCATGCAGACAGAGGAGGCCTTGTTGTGGGTCTCATTTAGAGGAGGGGGTGGAGGGCTGAATGCGCCTGCTGAGAGATCGACAGGTTTCTTTCAACGCTAGACACCCTCCCCTCTCCCCCCACCAGCCTCCTCCATCTCTTCATCTCCCTCTTTTGCTCACGCTGCCCAGTAGTCATGGGTGTATTGTGGGGAGAAAAGTGAGAGGGAGGCAAATTCACATAATTATCCATTTTGTATTCCTCAGGTATTCCCTGTCATTAACCCTAAAATTATAGTCTTAGGTGGCTTAAATATTTGAGTGTGTGCGGCTAAAATGAATAAATGAAGTGAAGGCGATGCTGTGGAAATGAAAATCACCACCTCTCCTACTTGCACTTGTGCACCATAGAAGTCCAAGTGAAAAGCAGCCCCTCCGACACGAAAGACATAGACAAGGATGAGTGGAGGGGGGTTAATGGGAGGAATGAAAAGGCATAGAACTGAAGGAAAAAAAGTGGTTTGAGAAAAACAAGAGCCTCAGTGTTAGTTACCCCTGTTTTCTCACCTCTTCACATTGCCCTCCATTGTTTCTACACACACACACACACACACACACACACACACATACACACACACAAAGGCACCGCCTGCTTTGCAAGCTCACTGCTAGCTAGTGTTTCAGCAGACAACCAGGAGAGAATTTGTCGAACCTGTAGCTACATGCCACCAGGACTGTGGAACAGCTGCTGGAGTGTAAGGCAGCAACAGTTACACCTGCTGTCAGCTGGGATAGGAGAGGAGGAGAAGGACCCGGCGAGGGTCGGTCCCGGTGCAGGAATGTAGGCCACGTGCTCCCCAGTGGTTGACGGGTCCAGACAGACCTCCAGCCACCTCATAAAGCCTCTGCACTCTTCACGCTCGCCCTGTGACCCCATTTTCGCAGGCACAAACATCCATTCTGCAGTGTAGCGCTAATGCAGGAGATGAGTATGAACAAAAGGAGGAAATGGGGTTTAGTGTTAATGGACTAGTGCCAAGCATCCTTTTCCCCTCTGGGCAGCAGAGTGGATGCTTGCATTAAGAGAACTTGAGTCATTACAGACATAATTATCAGTTTATGTTCGTGGGAACCCACAGGCTTATATTCACTTGTATGTAATAAGGAACAATTCAATAACAATATATTTGTACTTCTCTACAGTTCTACCTACAGGCACGGTTGTCATGGCGAGGAGCCCGGCTGTTGCGCCCGCTAATACAGTTCCTCTTAGTGATGATCGCTATCTACACCGGCCTGAGCCGCATCTCCGACTACCGTCACCACCCCACTGACGTCCTCACAGGCTTCATCCAGGGAGGCCTCACTGCGTACTGGGTGGTATGTTGAAAATCACCGTTGTCTAAATAGATCAACAGTTATCTCTGTCTTCACGGGATTAGTTTCCCTCTGTTCTCTGTTGACGGGGCTAGCTTAAACAATAGCCCCCCCCCATTTTCCCCACTCTAACGGTGTTTATAAACAGGGGATGATTGACAGTGTGTGGTCTGTTGATATCTCCTGACATGCTCTGCGTCTGTGCCCGCAGGCCTTCCACATCTCCTCCATGTTTAAGCCCTGCGCCCGTCCAGACCTGTCTCCCACGAGCATGTCCCTGGAGAGTCCACTGTCCAGCCAGCAAACTGTCTGTTAGCAGGCACACGCTGTCACTCCAGCAACCAGATGATGTCAGACAGCACGGGCGAGCAGCAGAGACGAGAGAGAGAAATCTTTTAAGAAAGGGAATTATTATCCTTAGATAAAAGTGATGGAGTACAATCTACACATGCATGCTCTTATGGGCAAACTGACACACATGCAAACACACACTCACACAGTAATCTAACATGCTCACACACACACACACACACACACACACACACACACGAAATTCAAGAAGCACATACGACTGTGAGTCAAACCCGTCCAGTGAAAAGAACTGCATAGTAATATTACAGATATTTTTTATATATGAAAAACAAAAAATAATAAAAAATGTCTATTTTTCAACAGCTGCTAATAATAATAATAGTTCCTAGTTTGGACCTGTTTTCTTCTGTGATGGAGGCATCTTGTCAGTGCACACGGTTCAGCTTTCAAAGCAGAGCTGGTCACTCTTTTGTCACTGGGTGAGAGAAAGAGGAAAAAAGAAAACTCCTGCCTCCTCTTTTGTTTTTTCACCCTCTGCCTCCGCTCGTAAAAAAAACTTTACCCAGCAGCTGTGAACTGAGACCATCACACCTCGGATGTTAAGAAACACCACTGGCTTCAACTCGTAACCGTTTTTACCTTCAGTGGCCTGATGTGCCACTGCTCTAATCACACTGCCCTGCATCACTAAACAATAACCTGTATGTAAGAAAACAGCATTTGTGCTGTATCGCAATGTTATCTGTCTTTTAGGGCAGTGTCAGGAGGAGGAATCAGGTAACTCCGCCTCCCCTTTGCTGCCACTTTTCTCTACTAACCACTTTGACTGTGTCTCAGAGGTGGAGGCTCGACTGAATTTTAACCTTTGACTTTTGCCCCTGGACTCCAGTCTCTGAGCTGCACCTTGATTTATGCCACTCTGACAGGAGAGCCGCCCCCACAGGCTCTCCTGTGCATCTTTATTAATAGCACTTGAACGTACATAATGGAACCTTCTTATTATAATCAATATTATATATTTTATCACAAGTTTGAATAATCAGTGTTTATTTTTGTTAATGTCAGACTCATACACTATATTTGTTTTTTTTCCTCCTGAAATTATAATTATTCAAATTGAATGTAAATAGGTATGTCATTTTATAAACCACACAGAATTTTAAAAGTATTAGTTCCAAGTCTGGACAGTTTATACCTGTTTTATGTACGTGATTGTATTTACATTTGTGTTGATCAGGTACGGAGACTTACTATTGTATCTGTTGTAACTACTAGACTGAGCCACAGATATTATCAGAAAGCTATATTTTTTGTGTTCCCATTTATTGTCATGTGTCTGTTTTGTCTGTGAATGCCTGAAAGGCAGAAATAACCACTGTAATCAAAAAAACCAAACCAATAAAATAAAAGTTGAATGTATTAACCTCTTCCGTCCTCTACTTTATTTTTGGTATTGAGAAAAGATAAGAAAACCAGACACATATACTAGATCTCAGTGTCACAATATTTATGTCATCTGGGTTGTTTCTGGCTACTCAAGAGCAGAATTGGAAAGGTAAGACAGAAGTCATTATACAGTCATATATATTGCTGAAGCAAAATGTCAACACTGCAATGATAAGTGACTTAGACTCCTGTAGTGTTTGGAAGCTTCCACTCCAGCGCTCTCCCAGTTTCTTTCATTCCCTGCAGCCCCCTCTCCCCTTCTCACCCTTCCTCACTCTGCCCCGTCCCTGCCCTCAGTCCTTTTCAAGTGCAGTGGAGCATGATGGGCCGATTCAGGGGGGGCCCCGCTGCCATGGAGTTGCTTAGACAGATACAAGTTGGGCCGTCTGAGGCATTTTCTTTTTCATTTCTTTTGCTCCAACTACTTCCAGGCTGAGGGAGGGGAATAAAAAAAGCGGCCTGAATCACACAGAGGGCCTAAGAGAGAGAGGGAGGGAAAGACAGAGCTCCAGTAATGGGTGTGCCCATAATGCTGAGGTATAAGGGGAATGGAAGAGCAGGAAAAGTGGTCCAGTAATGATGGAGAGGTGGTAATGGAGCAGTTGGCAGAACAGATGGGGTGGTAGATTGGGGAGAGTGGGGTGGTGGGCGTGGGGCGTCAGGGTGGGATGGAATATCATCGTGGTTTTCAGGCCTGTTTTGTTTCATAATACTGTAACTAAGGAGACATTTTTCATTCCTGAGCAACGTATGAGCCCGTGCTTGTGTGACAGGTTCTTGACGATCTGTGTGTGTCTCACTGGTTGTTATTGTCTTGTGTTTAGGTGTGTGTGACTGAGCAGAGTCAGAGGTAGGTCGCTCCACTGAGCTTAGCTTACACACCCTGTCAAACGAGACGTCTCCTTCACGCCACGGCCGCGGTCCTCCTCCCTAACCCTTTGGCCTTAATGGGAATGAATTGGGGTCGACAAGCAGAGGCAGATCCCGTGTGCTCACATTACTGAGGTCCAGGCGCGAGGGCCTCACTGTTTACACTGCTGCGACTGTGCACACAGCAGCCTGGCACTGTGGTCATTTAGAACAGGGGGGTATTTGAACTCTTATCTCAACAGTTCAAAGCCATTACTGTCTTTGACGCCTCAGTGTGAGAAAAAATAAATCAACTCACTTTCTCTGTCTTTCTTATATTTAACTTTGGGGAATTCCTTGATAAGATTGTGATTTTTGCGAAACTGGACAGGTGCAAAAAATAGCAAGGCGGATGTTAGGGAGTGGAGATCCAAATCAACGTGCAGATAAGTGTGCTGCAGGCGGCACGTAGCACACCTGCATAGCTCTTTATGACTGAGGAAAGTACACATGTATCATACTTTATTTTTTTGTCTAACTCTGATAACATCTAAACATCCCGTCCAACCAAATTCCTTTTAAGAAACTCTGGCTCAGTCCCTCGTGAGTTCTCTTTCCACAGTTCTAACGCAACCCAAGTGAAAAAGAAGGAAGGCTGTAAATTGATTCAAAATTGAAGAGGAAAAGAACATTTCGTGCATATACATTTTTGTTAAGTAAGAGCTTTTCACTGTGAGTCTCCAAGGCATTATAGACGTAGTCTCTGGAACTCTGCTGGCCTTTTATCCAGCTGTACTCCAGTTCTTAATAGAATTAAAAAGGATTAATGGGCTCTTTAGTATGCTCAAGTTCAGGCCTGCTCCCCCAGCCCCACTGGTCTGCATATTTCTAAATCACCCATAGTAATGACAGTCTGTGAATGCACAGGCTGCAGCCATTACAGGACAGCAAAGTGGACCCATTGTGTCCTGATATGAGTCTGTGAAAAGCATTAGTTTGCATGTTCCTGGTTTAGTCAAATGCACGCACTTCCCCCTCCTCTCCCGCTCTGCTCATCAGGGATTAGGATGCGCCAAGAGAGCGAGTCAGGACATCACCTCCAAAACTGATCTTCAAAGAACTGATGAGGAAACACCGGCGGATACAGCAGGATCCAATTCACGGCCAAATGTAAAAACCGCATGTTTGTGTAGACGAGTGTGGGTTTGTCCGTCTCCTCACGTACCTAAATTTATCAGTCCAGCCCATGTGCATGTGTAGATAGTGCACACACTATCTGATGAGGACAGTGTCATTTTGTTATCTGATGAGGATAGCATCATTCAGCAAATCAAGACGCAGGTATGTGGTGCAACATGAGGAATCTTACGAACATACGTAGCTGTGGAGGGACACTGCATGAGAGGCATGTTTGGTTTGGTTGTAAGCAAGAACTGACCAAAAAAACATGAAACCTGGTCGAAGGTTATTGGTATTGAGAGAACCCATTAAATTGAGATCAGGGGGCGGATCCATTTAACATTGCAACATTTCCACAGTTTTTTTCTTTACCCAGGAAATAATTCACGGATCATGATGAAAAAAAAAATTATATTGAAATAGAAATGTGTCTGTTACAACAGCGTCAATTTGTCGAAATCAAATACACAAGAATTTCTAAGAACCTAGTTTCCTGTAACCTTTTCATGAGAATAATATTATTGCTTAGAGACAAACATTTCATATACATTCATGTAAAAGTTTTTTGAATGATCTCTTAGTTTGTTGATAAGCAAATGTCCCTTGAGAATACAATCATGACTTGGAGATAATGGAGCAGGAGACATATTCATAAGCCACCATTAACTAACTTAAAGGTCACAGTTTTGTCTTAACAAGGCCGAGGAGGTGTTACGAGAGCAAAAAACAATGAAGGGTTCCCTGATAAGACATGGCGCCATAATGTGCGGTGTGTTTACTTTAGTGTCATGCTGAAACCTTTCAGGTTAGGGTGACCTTTGTAACCTGCAGCTCCTCTTTGCCGGGGACGAGACGATCTCAGCCAAACTTTTCCTCCTGCCTGCCGCTCTCTGTCACCTGTAAAACAAACCAGAGGTAAACACAAGGCACAAGAATAAAAACTTGATGGGTAAAGATCTGACTCAGAATCATAACAAGCGCGTTACACTTTGACATAACATTCTTCAATAAAACAAACCTATCTACCATCTACCAGCACCCAGACAAGACACGTTGTCGATAGAGATACCAAACTCCTTTGTTTATATTGTGTGGTCTGACAGATCAGAGATTTCTAGTGTGTGTGTCTGTCTGTGTGTGTGTGTGTTTGTCTTTGTGGGTTTGCGTCATGTTTGTTTCATAGCTCTCAGGCTGCTGATGGTCGACTGGAATGTAAAAAAGATAGCGGGAATAAAAACAACTCTCAGGATGTCTGAGGTGTTAATGACGACTGCAGTTTCGGGGTGGGAGGATGATCCTGGGTTCCAAGGTCAACAAGTCTCCTGCAACACGCTGGCTCAGCCGTTGTGGTAACGCAACAGTGACATGACACTCAGCCCATGTTAATACAAGCAGGGGATCATGAAAACAGTTCATTCATCACTTAAGCAAACTGCAGTAAGTTGTTGAATGAAAGTAGAATCTGTCCGGCTGACCTCACGACTCACCCCGAGGAGGTGATCTCACGAGAGAATCGTTCTGCTCACTACGTGTTTATGCTGTTTAATGTGTTTGCGTATGAACATGCAAACACATGTATACACATCTGTGTGTCCGTTGAAAAGGTTGTTGAGACCATGAATCACTCTTTCACATACCATCGTCATTTCATATTTTACTCCCCCCAACATACACTGTTTTCTTTTATTGTGAGACAGTACAGTGGTGTGTATGAGAAACAATGATTGTTATTACTCACTAAAGGAGATTACTGTTAGTGGGTTTGAATATAAATATTGCATAAGAGCAACAGCAGAGAAAGAGAAAGGATAGTTTTTGTGGGAAAGACCAAATGAGTTTATGATGAGAATTATGGTGAATGTGGGAGAAGGAGAGTACCTTATTATGCTGTGTGCTTATTACTAGTACTATTACTATTATGACTGTGTGTGTGTGTGTGTGTGTTTTCCTGTACTTATATCTTTGTAAGGACCATGTTAAACATAAACCCTACAGAGTGAAGACATTTTTGGAAAGTGAGGACATTTTGACAGTTTTCTTTAGGTATTGGTCATGGTAAGAGGAAGGGATGTAGGTGGGGTGGTTAACGATAGGGTAAGGGGCCATGTACTATGTCAATGAGTGTCATCAAGCAACCAACCCTCTGGTTAGTGGATAAGCTGCTATACATCCAGGGGTTATTCTAGTTTCTGATTTTATTAGCTATTCATTTTTTGGGCATGTAAATTAAAATTGATCTTAATGTCCTGCAGAGCACACATGATGAATATACTGTGTGTGTGAGCTAGGTGAAACTCAGAGGAATGAGACTTTATGTGGAGAGACCAAATTACTGTGTGAAAGAGACAGTGGTATATGTGGGAGAATGAATGAGTGTGTGTGTGTGTGTGTGTGTGTGTGTGTGTGTGTGTGTGTCTTAAATACATTACATGATATTGTGGTATACCTGAAAGATCATGATGCAGTGTGTGATAGTAACAGCAGTGTGATCAGTGCAGCATTGCTCCTAATTACAGTCCACCCCAGGAACTACCTGGAATGACACATAGAATTAAAACATCTTAGATGCCGGGGTCACACTCACATCACTGCTGCACATCACAGAGACAGTGAAATGTGCAGGAACCTGTTTAATAAAGTGCAGGCCTCTCTTTTCTCTCTGCACCTGTACGTCTGCATATATCATTTGATCTATGTTTCTTCTTGTATGTATAATGACAGTTTCGTGCCAATAGTTTAATGAATATGCACGCAGCAGATGCCTGATAGTATTCCTGTAATTCCTGCTTTTAAATGAGCTGAGCTGGAGAGTAATTTGTGTATGTAACACAGATCCACTATCATCTCTTGCCACAGTGAGCTTGTGTAATTGGCAGATGTGTGGCAATAACTACAGTGCAGTAAGTAGCAGATATTAGCTTTAATAACAGTAATAACTCATTATTCATT